ATATATATATATTAACAATAAGACCATGACAAATTAATCAGCGAACACTTTCGATGCAATAAAGGGTCGAAAATAACAAATTAAAAATTGTGCCTAGCCCATTGGCTTTCGGATCTGAAAGGGTTAAATCATAATTAAAATCAATGGTTTATGTGTACCTTGCTTTGATAAGAATGGTAATTATAAAAATTTGAAAAGGCTTATTTATGAACCATAACTAAGAAGCCAACTACAAATAAAAATAAAGATTTAGGATACTTTATTCTAAGAGATACACTTTTCTTTACTTTCAAGAAGTTACAAATGTAATAGAAATTATATGGCAGCTCAAGAGTATAATACAATGCACTAAGGTAAAATAATAAGTACGGCAAATAAATGTACGATGAGTAAGTGCATTATGCAAATAGTTAAATAATTTAATTTTAGCAAACAGAGCAACTGGACTGGAAAATTATAACAGAAATGTATCAATTTAACTTCAATTACTGAGCAACTCATTAAGAAGGATTTGTATCTAATGGTAACTGCCAGTGAATGATGTGACAATCAATTTTCCTACAGATGCATGATGCAATTTGTACAAGCTTCGAGGCATCATAATTACACGGAACATTTTAGTTCAGAGTGAATATTATAACACTAAATCTGTGTTAGCACTAGGAGATACAAATATTCAATACATTTTGCTTGAAGCCTTATATCACCACAATACTATAACATTTTCTATTAGTAGGTGATCATAATGACTCACTGGGTAAATGGAATAATTTAGTAAAAATACTTCCAGAAGATGAGGCTTCAAACTTTGGCCATAGGCTTTAAATATTATAAAACACCTGGACACATGGCAATATCCAGAAGATCTGTGCTATTTTTCAACTTTGTAAATGCTCTCTCTACAAAAACAAAATAGATTTGATATTAACTCAATGACCAAACCAAAACTTGTATAATAAAATCAAGAATGATTCAGTTTAGTGGAAAGGTGAATTGCCACTAAATGATACTATCACTAATTTTTTTAAACAATATTCTACATTTATTTTCAAATACAATTTATAAATAAAAATAATTTTTGGACAATGGGCTACAACAATGTCACAGACAATATTCTCATTTCTTTAACCCAAACACTATTTGAACCATTATCCAAAGAACTTAGAGAACTAATGGAAATTTTGAAAAATGTACAGACTATTAACCATATGAAGTGAAAAATCCTGTAACTTAAAATTCTCTAAATAAGCAAATTTTTACTGTAAAAAACATTTCATTGAAGTGCATTTTATGTTAATGGTTTCTGATATAATGCAGAGTACTATTATTTCATTTTACTGCTGCATGTGTTCCTTACTGCCATAATTTTTTTTTGTTTATATATTTGCATGCTTCAGACCTATAGATTTCTTTCTAAATGAGATGAAGATATTATGTGAATGCGAGTATACAGATCAAATGTATTAATTGTAATAGTTTACATTTATTACAGAAGATGAATAACAAATATTCCAAGATATTATTTAGATACCAAAAGATTTATGTTGAATAAAACTAACCTTCTTCATTTGAGTCAGCAGATGTAAGTGTGCTTGTGAGACGAGACATTATGGGGCAATATTGTCCATAAGTTTTGAGAAGTGCAGTACCATAGTTACAGATATAAGATGGTGACAGACGGGTCATAAATGGACACGGCATCTCCTTTGATGTATTAAAGAGTACTGAAACCACAAAACATTATTAATTGCTGAAACTAGTATTACTCCTTTAATTTAAATTTTAATGGTTACTATGGAAAAACATTTTTATAACTACCTTTCTTCAGTGGAGACCAATTTGAAACAGATACTTCGGCAGGTTTCAGTAACTGCCTGCTGTGACGTGCCAACTAAAAAATAAAGAAAAACATGATTAAAATTTTCATTCCCATCACAAATTACATAAAACAACTGATAATTCACTGACACAAAGCTCTCAGCGTATTCAGTTATTACTCTACATTTGGAGTTGTTTTCTTTCTTTCTTTTTATTTTTTAGACAAATTTTAGAAAGTCAGACACGAAGGGCTGCTTCACAGACCCATTGCATTACTTTAAGTAGAGAAAGAAGAATGCACTCAGATCTAAGGCATATTACCCACAATTAATTTACTAATTTGAATTACTTTGTCTTTATCTTTAAATCACAAGTATGTCACTGTATTTGCATTCAAAGAGGAATTTCACACAGGACTGTGAATGAAGTGATTTCAACCGTGAGTAAATAGGGGCACCCAGAAGAGGGGACAGTCAGGGCAACTTGCTCCAGGTCCTGGCATTTTTTTCTATCAAACAAATAATTGTATTTACTGTATGTACTTTAAATGCATCTTATTAGGATTAACCACTATAAGTTATTTTTGTTGTGTGGAGAAACGAAAGCTGCTAATGAGAAGGGGGAGGGGGGAATTTTTTTTCAAATAAAAGGCTGTACATGGATCTGCCTCTTGCTTTCTCCGGGCACCCCAGTGAGTAAAGAATGGTTTTCCATGAAAAACAAAGATTTTTGAAATTCTATTAAGAATAGTAATAGTTGAATATGAAAGTAAAGAGAACAATATACTAAAATATAATAAAGCTCCATTACAAGAAATAAGAATTAATACTTTTTACAAAGACTCTCAAGGAATAATTAATATAACATGCAACTAGCCTTACAATGAAATGCCAGAATAACCATTCAGCTTGAAAAACGATGCCTATTGACAAAACACAACAATCACAAAATTATGTATATTCTTAACCATTCATACTATCACAAAAAAAATGACATTTTCAAAAATCAAAAGAGGATCATGTTGAATTAACTCAAAAAAGTTTTCATAGACGTAGATTTACAAAACACATTCCTACAAAGAAGTTGCATTACCTCTGCTGTACAATCAGATAAATGCAAAATCATAATTTTCATTTGGCAAGATTTACTGATAAGATTTGTTATTTATTGCTAATTAATATCTTGATGATAAATGATATGAGTTTTAAAATATTGTAGGCCAAACTTAAATTATAGTTCTGAAATCCACAATATAACAAGTAGACTTCTAGTTCTAAGTGTTGAAGAACAATTAAAGTGATGGTCTTTGAAACGGATACATAAAATATCGTGCAAAAATATTGAAAAGTATTTACCAAACTCCCAAAAAATACACATCCATTTCAATTTTTCTACAATTGTTTCATTTTCCACAATCTGAGCACTGGAATGTTTCATTTAATACTTTAAACTGTAAAAAATTTAACTATGAATAAACTTAGTTTATTAGTATCACATGAGTGGTGATGCTATAACTTACATAACTGTACAGAAACGTTCCATTACGTTCAGCATTATGAAATTACGTGCAGAAATGTTTTAAAAAAATCTTGTAATATATCCAAATAAAGCAATAACAATACATTTTTTTAAAATACGATAATATCCTGAAAGGTGCAGGCAATCATATCACTTAGTTGCGAATTTCCAAAATATTCAGGTAAGACGGGATTACTCAACGTTTATTAATATACGTCAATTCTTTAATCATAATAAGTCTTAAACAATTATGCCATCGCTTCCATTCGTCCCGATCCATTATTTCAAGACGTCGTCTTGAAGTAAAAATATTAACCTCTACCTCGCACCACAAACCGAACACACACTCATCCATAGAAACGCGAATGAATTTCTAATTTTGCTTTCTTTTATTTCGCCCGCAGCGATTTTCGTGTAGAATGACGTACAGAACAAATGACGCAATGGGGCGTACCGCGATTATGCGACCTCTATTATAGCATACTCAATCTATTGCCAACACACAACATATGGATACGATTTCCGTTCTTGATTCTCGCGAACAGTTCAATACCACTGAAACACCTCCGAAAATGTGAGCAACAAGTACGCTTATTTTCTTCATCATCCAACACATTAAATAATAATTATTATGAAATATTTATAATAGTCGAGAATTTCGAGGGGTAATATGTAAATATTTATTTTAATATAACTTACCAACACCGATGAGTGAGCGGAATGCTAACGTGTCCTATAACGCCAAAGTCAGAGCGAAGTACCTTTTACTGCCACTAGAGTCGCTGAACGTCCCAAGTGACCCGGACTATTGATACACAGATGATCTTCGATAACAGTGAAGAGCGGGAGATATTCTAGTATGGCTTAAAAGGTAATATGAATTTTTGTACTTCAGATATATGCTGAACACATGATATGGTTCATTGTTAAGAACTTCGTTATTCTTGAATGTTTCTACATAATATATTCATCTCGAAATACCTGTATAACTGATTCTAAAATGATAAACGTAACAAGTACTCGTTAAAAGTTTTAAATGTATAGTTAATTTTATTTTGTTTTTACATATAAAGTACATTGCCAATACTTTATATTTAAAGGTTTTGAATATCGGAGTTAACATTATACAATTACTTCAAATAAGAACTGAACAAGTTTTGATTGTAAAAAAGAGATCCTTATCACAATTTGGCATTAAAATTACCAAAATTCACCATTTTAAGATCCATTTTAATTTATTACATTATATAAAAATAACGAAATGAGTAATAATGTTTGCATTAATGCAGTATCGCATTTTTTTATTTATTACATTCAGTAACAGTTAACTAAGACCGTAATGAGCTTTTTCTAAATTTTGTCGTGTATAAATGCTCTGAAAACATGTACACACTGTATTGTCTACGTTTCTTCATGTGTGTGTTGTTAAAGAAATGGTTACAATAAGTTAGATATTTTTCCTCCTAGACAATAAGATACAGTGCTAAGTTTCGAGATCACGGAAGATTCGAGTGAGGTATCTACCAGTATATTCAGAGAAGTAACCAAGGGAAAGCAGACTGGGCGTATGCCCCAAGTGCCAGCTAATCGGAACTATTATTTTCTTTGCCATTATCTATAGTGTTTGATAATGGGTAAATCATGACCAGTGTACAAAAAGGAGTTTAATCTCGAATTCAAAAAGTAAATAGTTTGGCGAATTTTTTGTCTTGTGTAGCACATTCGCTAAGCTTGTTGGCGCAAATGCTGCTAACTTCACACCAGAGTCAGAGTTCTTTGGCATTCTCATATCCAATTTTTTTTGCTTCCTCCACCAATAGATGAGAGGTTTTAATAAATTGTTTCCTTATTTCTCAAACTGTAAAGCGATACCAGATGGTCGTCTAATAGGGAAGCTGTAAGTACAATATTCATGGAATTAGGAAAACAATAAATGCTCTTAATGGTCTTGAACCAGCCTAATAACAACTACTAAAACCAAAACGGAAGCAACTTCTCTTCGAAAAAATGTGAAAACGTAATTTATTATCTTTTCACATTACTATTGATCGGCCAGAAAAATATATTAACCATATAATCTGAGAATTAGAATCATAAAGATCAAACACTTCCTCTGTTACAGTAAAAGGAGTGATAGAAAGAGCAGGAACGTTTAACATAGATATTCAATTTAAAGAAGTAAGCAGGAAAAGAAGCGTATATTAGATTGAAAGGGCAAGAGTAAAGATGAAACTAATTCATTCTCAGAAGAAAAAAATCAAATTGTGGAAAATTATTATGAAAATAATACAGCGGATTTTGAATGAACTGAGGGAAAGGTTTCAAGCCTTTCAAAACATTGATAAGTCATTTGGTTTCCTCATTGGAGCTCGGTTTGAAACAATGAATGAAGAAAAATTGAGGAACCAGGCATTGTGTTAGATGCCACACACAAAGACTTAAAAGCCATAGAATACAGCTTTAAGCGACATGTCTTGGATTTAAGTCCTAATACGGAAACGGCCACACAATAGAGTAATAACAACATAACTTAGTGGCAGCGTTGAGAATTTTTCTTCCTATACTAATCTTAGCCGCTTCAAATGAAAAGAGTTTTAGCAATCGTAAAAAATTGCCATAGAAACTAAACAGAGCACCAACGACTAACCAATATGAGCGCCAATAGGATATCCATAGAGCGCAAATTAGCTTCAAAGTTTTTTTTTTGAGGAGATTGTAAACATTTTGAGTCTAAAAGCAAGTTCAGTATCAGTTTACACTATTTTCAAATTCGTTTTTACGTTTTATAAATAGATTAAGAGATTGTGTGAAGTACCTAAGTATAACATACAAGGCAATAACGTGAGTAAAATCTGATATTCTTAATATTAGTAGTACTTGTCATTAAATATCCTCTCCTAAAGAAGATTCTTTACAAAAAATCACATTCAACACATGTACATTATTTTACAACACTTTGCCGGATGACGCTAAAAAATTAAAAACGATAACCTAGTGCCAAATAAAATATTTTCTACAGCATAACTGCTTCAAAACAATTAGACAATATGACGAGCACAAAAAATTAAAGTAAAATTGATTTCAACAATGATATTTAATGTATTTGTAACTATTTGGAGTGTACAATTCTAAAAGACTAAATATGCCTGTAACAAGTATTGTACTTCAACTGCTGGGTCAATATAGGTGTTGTGGTATAGGTGCTGGGTCAATGGCCACTATCTAGATCAAATTTTCGTCCAATTTCCCTGATCGTTAGAGCGAATGCTGAGATTGCCCCTTGTGTTGCCTTTAGACGTAAATGTAGTTTCACTATCTGTGCACGGCTTTTAGAGTTCAGTGGCGAATAATCATTCTCCATTTTCTCGCGGCAGTATGTTGATTCCTTCACGAAGGGCAAGATGAAGGGTAGGTAATAGCCAAAATCGGTGTCTGATTTGCTTGTGCACATAGTTTTATTACACGAAAGGGAATAAGTTATTTCCAATTCTTGCCAAAAACACTCGTTTACACACGTATTCATAATTTAACTTATACTTGAGTTGAGGGTAAGGA